AGTCACCATCCAAGTTTTTCATCTTTGACCAAGAAAATAAAACAATTTAATATTTTACCATCAGACCTTGGATTTTGAAATAAACTGGTAACATTTCCCGAAAGCAAGGAAAAAAACTGTTTATGAAGTTTATTTAGGACTACATACTTAACAGTACACAAATACTTGACAGACACATTTGTAATAGAGGTTTGGTGAAAGGTCTAACGTAGATAAAAACATAAAAATCAAGACAGAGAAAAAAGAAGAAATAAAAGAAATATGGTGTTTAGACTCCTATCAACAAAAGAAATATAAATATATAAATATGTCTTTATATACTCAGCATATTTCTTGACATTTAGAGGGCAAGTTCCAAAGTTAAGGAAGCAAAAATATCCAGGTGTAAGGTTAGACACATATAGAGTGTGCAAAATTTAAAATGATTTTAATAAAAGTAACAAATTGTCAGGCATTCATCATGGACTTTGTGCAGTCATTGCACTGCTTTTTTTTCCCTTATTTATGCTCATGATGGGGCACAGGGTCGTACTGTTCATTAATGGAGAATTTGTTCTTACCTCCAAAAAGCAGAGGTATATAAAGGAATGTAATAAGCATGACTGCACTGCATCCAAACTCTGAGTTCAAAACTAGAGAGTAATGGGTCAGGAGGGATTATTTGTGTAATGCTGGGCAGTTCTAACACACTACTGTCTTAGTATTAAAGCACAATACACCCAGTCTTTCAAGAAATTAAAAAATAAGCTTATTAACTTCTTCATATCAATTAAGTTATGGAAGTTTGCCTGTCTGATATCTTCCGAACTATTTCTACATTTATTTTTTTTTTTACAAATGCGCATTGCTGTGTGTTGCAACAATTTACAATCCAGAGAGTGAAATATAGAAAACTCCTGGAAAGTCTCCACCAGCTCCTGCAATCAGGGCCTTTCCAGGATTGTCAAAGCAACAAATGAAAACTGTCCCGATTTCCATCAGCCTAAAGAAGCCGATGTCAGTCTCACAGTTGGGCGCTTCTTTGGCTCTTACACTTTCACCCTGTCATCAGGATGAGATTGTTAAAATGTGAAGTTCTCTCTATGTCTGTATTAGCAGTTTCACTAAGTCTAGAATTTGCTTTTGTAGAAGCTTCACTTCCTATTATGACAACTAAAAATATTTTAATGAAACCTCTTAAAGGCAGATTAAAAAGCCTAAGTTTTTTTCAGGCCACTTGTGGAAATTAACTTCTTAGCCTGCTGATTTGCTGTCACAGTTTCTCCTATGGTTAATAAAGGGCTAACAAGTCCTTTCACTCAGAGAATAATTGTATGTGCTATTGCTGGTTATGCCTTTATCTTTAAAATAAATGTTTCCTCATTTATTTTAAAGAGAAATAGAAAAGAGGAGAGGGGAAAGAAAGAAAGAAAGAAAGAAAGAAAGAAAGAAAGAAAGAAAGAAAGAAAGAAAGAAAGAAAGAAAGAAAGAAAGAAAGAAAGAAAGAAAGAAAGAAAGAAAGAAAGAAAGAAAGTCAGCCTTTTTGCTGCAATCTCTTCTTCTCAATGTGTTTGCCAAAGTTTCCAAGTGATGCATTTCATGGTGACATGTCACATGTTGTGTCAGTCATACTGTATTACACTAGAAGACGTGACTGACAAAGCCCAAAGTGACAGCACAATACAACACATCATCAAGGAAATTAGAAAAAAAAATGTTTTCCCAAAGTATAATGAAAAGAATGCTTTTAAATATTCCTCCTAATTGTTCTCTCTGCTTGCTAAATTCTGTAGGACTGGTGAGTCTTTTGTGAATCAGCCACAGGAAAAACTATAGTTTTATTTAAGTCAGTGTCTGGGAAGTGGATAAAACTATGAATATGTTAGTCAGGGTGGAGATTAGAAATTTACAAAACAGTTCTTTCACACAGTTGAGTTTGTGGCTGGCCTGACACACACAGGTGAGTTGGTACTATCTTTTTTGGTCGTATCACATCTTATTTCTTTTGCCATTTCATGAAACATGGGCTCTCCTAAGCTACTGTGAACAGATGTGCTCTCCCACTGTCCTAGTTTTAAGCTACCCAAATATAGTGTATTGTAGCCTGGCCTCTGTTTTGTTCCACACTGTGAAATAGCAGCTCAGTTTTTGCCCAGCTTTTGCACAGCTGTGAGCACAGGAAAACTGAGCCTGTACTTTTGTTCTGTTATCTTGGTTAAATTTATCTCTGTGACCAAACTTTGCTCATTTTGTCTCATTCAAAAGACATGCTTAGATGCAACCTAAACCAGGCTGTAAAAAAGACCTGAGTTAACTTAAATATTTCTGGTAGAAGACTGTTGATTTTTTTAAAGCCAGACCACATTGTAGAAATTGTATTTGTGGTCAATGGAATATTTTGTTATTCTGTCACCTCTGAGACAGGGGGTGGGAAACATTCACCAGTCCCTGTACTATTTTGGCACTGCTCCAGACACATACCCTTGCCTAGGACTCTACCTGACTGCTGTAGCACACGTAGAGAAGAAGGAAACAGGTCAGGGTAATGTTAGTCAAAAGATGATGTCTCTCTCAAGAAAAGTCCAAGCTGGAAATGATGTAGCTAAGGGGGAACAAAAGAAAGATGGATACTTTTCCACTTGACTGAAGTCTGATTATTGTTGGCAGAGATTAAATCTTAATTTAACAGGGTTAATTTAAATTGACAAATGTGACCTTTAAACTGAAATAACAGGGGTCTTTGGCTGAATACAATCAGTTAAAGTAACACCATTTAAGTTGAGACTTGTACTCTAATATATTTCTGTTATGTAATAAATTACATAAATTGAATTGCCATAACTACCCTAGGACACAGATAGACCACACTAAATACAAGTGAATGAGATACTTCTCAAGATGTAGCTGTGTCCAAGTCCATATCCATATCTAAAAGGTAATATCATGTACATGGCTCAGCTGAGCTGACACACATTAACATTTTAAGTTTTTATTACTAAACCATATGCCTGAGATTTCAAAATAAATGTTTGCATGTATGAAGACTTAATTTATACAGTATTTAATCCAGATAAATTGCACCAATAGGGTTTAGTGGAGAGCAATGTAGTAGATCATATCAATGAGAATTTCAGCTGATCACACACAGTCAGGTCTGTCAGCTCTTGAACTCTTACAAAAGATCATATGGTTAAAAGCATAACCTGCAGTAAAACTTGGCTCATAATGTATGTAAAATGTATGTACTTTTATATTTGTTTGAACACCTTGTTTCTTTATGTTGCTACTTGCTGCTTTCTGTTGTACTAGACTCATAGAGTATGATTTATTTTAGCTACTGAGATATTATGGGGCAGGTAAAGCACAGAGAATTTAGGAGGCTGTAGAAAAGGCTCATCCATTTTCCAAATCAGCCAGGAATAAAACATAATGCATGAAAGTTCTTTCTGTTCTTGCATAATCTTCTTCTGATTTACTGAGCTGGGGCAATGGACCTAACATTTAAACATAGGTATTGTGATCCCTTTAGACACGTCTAAACTTTTTCATGCACATTGCAAGTAATGGGTGGGATATAGAAGGATTAAAATGTAACATTCAGCTGCCTGAAATTGATGTGGGCAGATGCCTGGTCTTAATTCTACATGCTGTACTTAATCTGTGTGAATATGTGAAAACCCCATTCTTCCAATTTTTGCTGAAAGTCACTCTTGCTCAGATTTCACTGAGAGGAATTATAACTGATGACTTTGCTTGAAAACATCCGGCCCAAAGGTTTTTGTTAGAGGTGTGATTTATTATGAAAATATGTTGTCCTCTGGTTTACAACAGGAACTAATAAGCATTGGATATAATACATGCTTCCTAAGCAAAACAGGCTCTTTTTGGCATACACAGCCTCTCCCTTCCATCAGTGTCTTAAACACAGAGAGTTCGCAGTCTTTCTCATTTATTGTGCTGGACGAACCCCACACAGGCTAAAGTACCAGTGAAGTCGTTAAGAGGTGCATGAATTCAGGGGGAAAAAGGGCAGAGAAGAAAAGAAAAGCTGCTTCAGAAGACCTTTTCTTTCAAGTAGTCCCTGTTCCTTGTCAAAAGCTTTTGGATGTATGGCCTGTTCCAAAATCTTTTCATGGATTTTGCATACAAATTCTGCAGAGAGCAGAGGGAGAGGGGAGGAGGGTCAACACAGCAGGGCCTAAGATATTAGGATGAATCTAAAGTTCCATTGAAACATTTTGCCTGTCTAAAATAGGATTTTTATTTTTTCAAACTACAGAGGAATAGATGGATATTAAAAAAAATACCTACTGCTTCCTTTTCCTTGTCACTCTGCAAAGAACCTGCATGACCATAAGTTGACATGTGACAGATAATTAGTGTTGGGCAGACTTAAAATGTTTGCAATGTGAGTCTAAAAACTTTGCGTGTTTATGCAAACTTCTTTGGTCTAGAAACAAGCTTGACAGAAAAGCTTTATTCTTAGGAGGTTCTTGCCACCACCCAATTGTCAAAGAATGTAAAATGTTGCAAGAATAAAGTGCTGTGTGATGTTTCTGTAATTAGGCTTTTCAGTTTTGTTTGGATTGGGGTCATGCACATCAGATAGCTCTAATGACGTCAGCTTAGGATCTGCTTCATAAAATTCAAAGGGAAGTTAAAATAAGTCAGCATCAATGTTGTTTAGTCCTTTTTTGTCTTCAAGGAGTGATCACTCTAATTTGGGTTTCGTTTGAGATTTCAGCTGCTTGTGCTGATCATAGAACAAGCATGCAATTAAACCCCTTGATCCAAGTAACTCACAACTTCAGTAAAGTGCTAATCTATATCACCTGAGCCACATTGGCCACATTGACCATTGGCCACTATGGATTTATCCATATCACATGACTGTGCAAGGTTCATTGTGACTTGGTTTCAGTTTTTGTTTGTTAGCTAACCACTGCCAGTTTTGCTTTACATAATTTCTGCAATCAAAAAATTAATTAATTTGAAAAGAAAGATCTTCCTTCATCTTACACTATACTTTGAATGCCATGACTGTACCTTCATACTGACTGAGAACCTTACTTGTTTTCCCAGCTGCTGCACTGTTTGGGAACACCACTGAGGAAAACAGCTGGGACTCCCCTGGAAGAAACCTATATACACCCAGTCTTAGCCACTTGAAGAGAAGATGAACTCTAGACCATTAGCATCTTAACTGAGGGTGATGGGTGTGTGTTGCAGATAAATATGAACACCATGAAAACAGAGGAAGATGTGAGATTAGTGAAGGTCTGAGGCAGAGTAAAGATTTCAAATTTGAAATAAAGTCCTCTGCTACCATTAGAAATAGTGATGCCAAAGGACATCTTTCTCCCTTGTCATGCCAACAGTGAAAACATATCTGTAGCCCCAAAGCCCAGCTCTTCTGGGACATGAAGAAGGGGTAAAAACAAACATTTCTATGCCCAAAACATGCTGGCAGACTGCTGGCAAGGAATGCCACCTTGGTCTTCCTGCTGACTGTCCTCCTATTGAGCACATGAGTGCAGAACTGAGGGCACAGTGAAGCTCAATCTGACTGGAGATCAAGAAAATCTAACTTTATCTTGATTCCACATTACTCTCTGGAATTTGGCTCATCTGAATGTACCCATACAATCCTGGGGCTGATTTAAAATTTGTGGCTGTTTTATAAACTGATTTTGCTTTCCCTCATAAAAGCTATCCATGCCTTAGTTGCTAATGCTCTTGCTTGGTGACAACATAGCCACAAGGGAAGGCTACCTGGTTTGCTATCAAAATGTAACATAAAAACTGTTACCTTCATTATACGTGTTATATAATGGGGTAGAGGTTTCATCTGGGTAGGGTTCAGTTTAAATATACTTTAAAGTGGTCTTTAAAAGGAACGAACTCCACTGTGAAACACTATTATAACACCAGGGAGCCCTCATTTTGTGACCACTCTGCTCGATGGATGAGAATGTTCAGGTCAGTATTCACAGAAAGCCAAATTCAGGGCTTTGAAAAGAAGCTGTGATATCTTTAGTTTATTATTTAATCAGTGAGCCAGTTTCAGGATTGGTTTTATACTCATGACTGACTGTTGAAAGCCTGAAAGATAATGTTCAGGGATAGCAGAAAGGGAAGCAGGCTGTCATTTCTCCTATGCATTCCCCTGACCCACCACATGCTCAGACAAGGATGAGATAGGCTTATCTGCATTTTGATTCTATTCAGTAGTCATTGTCTCTGGAAATGTGCAAATAAAATAATGAAGACCATGATAAAATAGAGCAGGAAAAATATCTATTTAAAGCAGCTGTTTGGGTGCCAGCTGCTTAGTAACAAATACATCTTTAATGAAATCAAACAATCCAACAGGATTTATTGATTACTAACAATTGTTTTAAATACAGTCTGGTAGGCTGGGCTGTTTGCATCCTTTTTTGTCCAATTAGTTCAGTTGGTTTGAATTAGACATACTTTGCTATTATCTTTAAAAATATGGCTCACTAGACAGTGCATTATTTTCCTCCAGAATAAAGTGTGGGAGAGATGCATAGAATGAAAGATTTTTGACACTATTCCAGCTGTTTAGAGGAAGGCAGCAGTGTGCCTTGTCAAGCTCTTTCACCTCAGCAGCTTCAGTTCAAATCCATCCTGAGATCTTGAATGAAGAGGATATGGTATTCACTCCTTGGAGCCTGTTGAACAGTGGAAAGAACAAGAACTCCTGTGTTTTTGTGGCACTTCAGAGCCAATTTCTGCAAGAACGATAAGAGAGTCTTGCGGAAACTTAAATCTTAGGGCTGACCTCTGTCTGCCTGTAGTTCTACTCTTGCTAACATCGAGGGGAAATAAATCAGCAGTATTGCAAGCTGATAGACTAGATGGCAGAAGAAGTCCTTTCAGCCCTTTTTTTCTAGGAACTTGGGAAAATCTGCCATTGACTTCAAGATTGAGGAAGTTCTGCTCCCAAAGGTCTATTTTTTCATAAAATTATACACCAGTAATCAGTCATATCAGTACTAGTTGGAAATCTCTAAGCACCAAGTTATTTTCAGTATGCCTGCAGAGCCACTAAAGTATTAATTATGAGCCTGATCCTTAATGATCCCTGATCATAGGACTTTTAGGTTCAGTAAAGACTGTCATGGATTTCCTGGGAATTTTTACTGCGAAAAAATGGTAGACTCAGATCCAAACATGCATGCTGAATGAATTGATGCTGATTTCAGCTCTTTTTTTTCTCTGCTTCAGTGAGCCTGAGCAATAGTGTTCTAAGTGTTGGACACACCTCACAGAACCACAGTAGTGAGCTAACATAACCATTCAAAAGCACATGCAGATAAGAAACAAATGGAATAGATAATTGACTAAAAACACTAATGTGTTTTCTTGAATTATGTGTTTAGACAAACAAGTGCTGACATATGATATATTGAGTCTAAACAGTAGTTTCAAACTGAAGATGCTCAGGCCCCACACTGTGGGGTAATGCTATCAAAATGTTCACTGTTCTGCCCATTTAACAGCTATCCACAGAAACAGACCTTGTGGCATTACAGTGTAAGCATAAGGACTGCTGATACCAAGTGTGCAGAATGGGGCTCATATATACAAATGGAATGGTTCATATGAAACATACTGCCTTATCTGAGACTTGCTATCTTTTCAGAGTGCATTGTGCTTAATTCTGAACCCCTATATTACATTAACTTTTGATTTGTTTGTGAGGATGGAAACAGCACATAATATACACCAGAGAGCACCCTGACACTGCATCACCAAAACAACTTGTATTATCTTTAAATCCAAGATCTGAACCCTTTGCTGTAGATCCATGTATTAATCTACTTGTGTAGTCAAATATAGAAATCCTTTTCTTCATGAAACACACAAGTCCCTGCTTCTTCCAGGCATTTTATCCTAACAGATAGCATGGCTCAAGTTTTTATAATTATTCTAAAATGAGTGGCAATCTTTTCACTACTACATTACTGGTCAAGGTGTTGTGGTAGTAGGGTATAACCAGCATATGGGAAAAATAGGGTGCACCCAGGCCTGTCACCAATGCAGCGAGGTTGGAATGGTGGGACAACCTAGTGTCCTTCCACCTATTGCTCCTCAACAAAATTCCAACATCTTCCACCAAATTAGCTGTGATGAGAAAGCAGCCACTTACCAGGTATAGCTTTTGCTTAGCAGTTAGCTGACACTGCAAATGAGTAAGACTAGTAAAACCGCCAGCCTAGATCAGCACCTGATAAAAAGTCTTTGGCTATTGGTTTTGATATGCTTTTTAAAGGCTGTGCAGAGCAAAAAATCATCTATTAAAATATATGCTACCAGTGAGGAAAGTCTTTTTTCACAACATGAGCTGATATTCACAAGAAGGAATAGCTTTTCATGGGCTACAGATGTTCCTACTTTTGCCTGTGCCTTCTCTTTCTTTCAGATGGAAGGATGCCCCAGAGATGCTTTTTTAAAGATGTATTCTTGTCCTGGCTTTCACTGTATGGGATTTGTGGCTGCTATGAGATCAGCTGGCATGTCACTGCATGAGGAACCTCTGAGAAGGCGAAGGTGCCCAGGTGTGTGTGAAAAACTCTTCGACCATCTCCCATGATTGCTCAATATCACAGTGGTAAAAGGAAACCTTTGCAGCTAGTGCTTGATAGAGCTACATTTTATATTCCAGCAATCTAATTTCAATAGTTGAGCGACTTGTAAGAATATATACTGCATCATGGTGTTTCTTCACTGGTACTTCACCTCCATTCAGTGGCAGGTCCTTTGATAGATTTTCAGAAGCAGTTATGACTACAGAAAAGGCAAAGAATGAGTGTTCTGGCCTCCTTGATCCAGGTGCTATATAAACACTTGGTTTTAGGCAAACATTGAGTTCCAGTTTGTACACATTAACTAGATGAAAGTTGGAGTAGGAAACAAAGGCTAAAGAAGACTAAATTTCTTTTCAGACTCCTCCATGGAAGGGATGCAGAGTCCCTTTTGAGTCTCAGAACTAGTAGCTCAAAGGCATCTCTGAGGATCAGTTCTAAATTTTATATAAGATCTTATATTTGGTTGTCAACCTATGACTAATGCCAACATATAACCCTGTAGATAACAAAAACCTCCTCTAAACAGTTTAGAATAGCTAGAAAACTATTATGAAGACACTACAGAATTGAAGGATGCAGCAAAATTAAGGCTTTCACTATTTGAAAGACTGAATGGAATGGTTGATTTAATATTTCAAATTCCCTTGATACAGAAATATAAAGTAATGGCCATAGATGACCATATCTTAAAGTAATATTATTTTTATTCCATAGTCCAAGGAACCAAACTACAGTTGAGTCCTTGCTGTGCTGTATGTTGAATATAAACATATTCTTACTCCTACAAAAGCCAAAATTAGAAAATATTTATTTTCCGCTCTACCAATTTATTTGAAAATGAATACAAATTAAAATTTTTACTGATTTGCAGGTAGTACATTTGTCACCTGCTCGCCAGTTGAATAGAGAAAACAGCTAATCTGACCTTGTGCAAACCAGCTGCATCTTGGTAGCACTCATCTTTTGTGAAGAGAATCCAAATAGCAAAGTCAGGTAAAAGCATAGGAAAAGCCCCAAATACATAGAAAATCCAGTGGTGGAAGCAGTCTGATAAAATGCATACTTCTGTAACTTATACAACATAGCTTCTCTTGAAGAAGAAACTCAGCTAGAATTAAAAAAAAACAACTATTCCCTAAAGGTGCCTGTTTCTCTCAATTGACACTAAAAGGTACATGGGTAACTGGCTCAGGTGTCAACACTGCAGATCTTTAAAGTTAGATGAGATCAACCCCGTGGGACATGGCCTGTCTCAGGTCACAGCAGGGCTCTCTGGTAGGATAAGGACAGAGACAGATCTGTAGTTCAGCCTCCCACCAGGAGCTATGAAATTGTCCTTCCGTGCTTTTAGGAACATTATTTTGTATTATTTTAATCACCTGGAGAAAAGGCCAAACTGAGCTCTTATTTGCTTGTCTTTGACCATAGGGATCCTGACTTCCTTTTCATGAGAGACAAATCCAGGAAGATCTCCAGCTTTCTTCTTTCCTGGATGTTTCCTTCAGTGCTAATCCAAAAAACTGTGATGAAAGAAGAGTGACCTGGAGAAAGGTAAATGATTTTAGAAGTGCTTTTAACACCACAGTCACAAAGCGATTTTTCTATCTCAAATGTGTGGGGATAGATTCTAATCAGAGAGGTTTCACATTCCTTAAATGTATGACACCGAGTGAGGCCATCTTATGTTAGAAGTGGTTTTGTCACTAGGTGGGAAGTCCCCTGCTCTAGATTTCCTACATTATTTTTTTACTTAATTTTCTGGATTGTTCATTTCCCCCAAGCACAATTGTTTCACAGTCATAGAATGGAAAGGACCTCTAAAGATCATCCAGTTCCAGTCCTTCAGCTGTGGGCGTGGACCTTTTGCACTAGGATCTGATTACTCAAAACCCTGTCCAGTCTGAATTTTTTCCTCATCTTCTGCTGAGATGCCCTTATAATTTCCATGGCACAAACTACTTCCCAAAGCTGGATAAAATGGCAGTCAGGAGACTCTAGATAAATGGAAATTGAAAAGTCCTTGATTGCCATTGGGACATAATTATATTAAGAGGACTTTGAATTGTGTATTTTTATATTACTTTTTTCAGCTTCAATGAGATATCTGGAAACTGCTATTCCAACTTTTTGCCAATTCCCATCAGTGCAATAGACATGCATCCCAGTGTTTATTAATAGTTTTTATCACTGTCTAAAATTATTTAAAAGAACTGATGAGTAGTTTCAGATGGATTGGCTTACAGCACACTGACCCAGACTGGAAAGTGACAGAGAGTTTATGTCCTTCCTGTCTTTTATTTTTTTTTACTTTGCAACAGGTGATATGAAAAGAAGCAAGCATGTTTTATTTTATGTGTTCAGGCATGTAACAGATAGTCATGCACATGAGATTGGGCATTTATAAAACCAGATGTCTCTTGTAAAAATCAGGTCCAAGTATTTTATCCAAATTCTTAGGAAATTCTTTTGGTTTGTCTACTTAAGAACACTTAGCATTGCAAATTCACAGGAGTAAAATTCAGTCTGGCTTCAAAACCTTGCAATGTAATTAACTGAGACTTTATAAAAAAACCATAATTTGCAAGCTAGCACACTATTAACATATTAATACTCTGACCCTTTCTGTATGAGGCTCATGAATTCAGTTGTGCTACATCTATAGGATGCTGTGACAGAAGTAGAAAAGTGAGGTAATGTAGCTCAATTACACCAATCAAAAGGTTGCTGTGTTCAAAGACAAGGATTAGTGTTAATAATTTTTCTCCAGGGAAGAAAATGCTCGATCCAGGTTCCTTTAGGGCCTGTAGATCCTTGTCAGGATGCAGAAGGGAAAGAACTCACATAACTAGGTCATTTCAGTTCCTTTTGTTTGGCAAGGCTTATGAGATAAAACATTAGGAAAAAGGCTTTTCTCCATAATTGTTATTTTGTTATCATTGACTACATTTACTAGGGTTGTATAAATATATTGGTAAATAGATATCTCTTGCACCTTTAAAAATTGTCATTAAAAACACGTAAGCATTCTTCAGTATTGGTTCAAGACTCTCAAATAATATTTATTTATTATACAATGAAATAGAGACAGTGCATAAAATGCACAGGTATTATTGCATTTCTCTTTGTATATGCTATTTTTAAATTGTTTGCTGTGTTGCAGTAACACAATGCACCTGGAACAATACATCTTAGATATACTATTCACATTTGACATGGAAATAACTATGTCTGCAATGAGTTTATAACAAGTTTACCTCTTTTTCATCATTGCAAAATTTTTCTTACACTAAAGATGTGCAAGCAGAATATGAGATGCATGTGTAGAACTTGCAGCTCAGGCAGATGAACAGCTCTTGTAAGTTTGATGTCACTGATGACTTTTAAGGAGGCTAATAAAGGGCAAAATTAGAGAGGAATGCATCCAAGGCTGATTAAGCTTGATTGGGCAGCTGTCAAAGATAGTAAAGGCTCTTGTCAGTGCCCCTGTAGCTCCTGCCACAAGCCCAGGAGAGTGATACCCCAATTTGTCCACCTCCAAATATTTTTTCCCATCTGCTCTCATTAAAAAATTTACTGATACTATTGTGATGGATTTGCTGCTTTTTACTGGAAGCTCTGTCTTACATAAGGCAAGTATTTGAATTAGGGCAAAATATGGTGGTAGATAATGGAAAGGAGGAAGGTGGAGGTACCGTCTGTTAAGCCTATTTATATTCTGATATATTATTAACACTTGTCTTGGATTTCTTTGAAATTTCAGGACTGAAACTCAGTCCTTGATAAGTCAATGACAAAACTGTTTCTGTGTCGCTAAGATCTTCCTCTGATAACAAGTCACAGGGAGGGGAGTACAAGGCAGGTTCCTGTGCTTTTGTGTTCACTGTGTGCCTGGCAATTCTTAACTTCAGACAGATAGTGTTGGGTCACGTTATAAGCTTGTCACATGCAAATATTTCCATTCTTTGGTGTACCACCATTTTTAATTATTTTGAATTCTTTAGGTGAATAAAGTGGCCACTATGACTTTGAAAGAGATTGCCAAAATGTATGCTGTACTATTTCCCCATTAACAACACACAATTGTTTGGGAAGAAATTTTTTGTCCACTAGTATATGTATATAAGTAAAATAAATAATTCATGCAAAACACACTGTGCATATTGTGTTTTTCTCCAGTTATTACCAGAATATGTTATTAACATGTTTAGGCTTCTGTAGTGGTTTCATTTTTCATGTATTTTCTACATACTTCTAGTTTCCTTATCCTTATGAAGTCCCTAGCTTCTAAATAAATTATGTCACATTGAAATGTTTTATGGGAATTAGAGCCATAAAAATTAGGTCTTTGGGGGTATGGGTTTAAATGACTTCCTGGCTTCTTAGGTGTGTGATTTTTCTCTTATTCACTATAGATTTGCATTGTTAACAAGGTAGGAAGAAGAGTGATATTTTTGTTTGAAAAATAAGAATTGTGGAGGTTTTTTTCCTTACACAAAATAAACAAAATCAATTTTTTCAAATTTTGTGCATTATAAAATGTTCTTCTTTTATTGCCATGTTTTGATTAAATCAGATTGCTTGTTTTCCTACTTTAACTTATTTTTAACTACAATGCAATAGTAATTCTAGATGATGGCTAACAGTAGTGGTCAAAATGGAATTTTCCAATTTTATTGTAATGTATCATATTTTTTAGGTGACACTTCCCCACATTAGACATGTTTCACAGAATTTGTCTCTCATGAATTCTCATTTCCTACAAGAAATATGTAGCATCAAGTAATTCACAAGAGCTTTGAAAATAGTTTATTTTTCCACAAAGTATTGTGTCACTACTGATTTATACCGATGAAAAGGAGAGACAATTCAAGTAATACTAATTCTTTATATGAAGTAGTGTGTGGAAATATTCAAAAGAAGAGTCCAGGAGTGTGAAAAATGTATTTGCAATGATTTTTTTCTCTCTCTGAGTTTTCAGTGGATTTTGCTCAGTTCTAATCTTTTGTAGCTCAGTTTTTCAGAAGAGCAAATTTTAGAGATGATTAGCTGATATAAATGTTATGGGGTTTGTATTTATTTGTATACCAAGTACCTCAAATCTCTGACTTCATGTATTCCAGTTCCTCAAAATCAGAGCTTGCAGATACATAGATTTGCCTGGTTAGATTTAAATCTTGTTTTGGTCTTGGGCTTTATGCAGTTGTATACAGGGTATCAAGTCTGATTTGCTTTTTGAAACAGAACTCTGTCACTAACTTCTCGTATGAAAGAAAGCCAAGAGACTTGATCAAATGGCTACACTCCTCTTTTCAAAAATAATAAGCAAAAAAAAAAAAAATCTCAGACTTCAGGAAAAAGGCTGATCACTTTGACAGTTATAAATATCTCACAAACTATGGTCACTTGCAGAGAAGTGTTTTATTCTCCAGTCTTATCCAGTGACATTCATCTATCCAAACATGGATGTCTAAAGTGTGTTTCTGAGCTAATCAATACAAGCTTACTTTACAGTCAAGAGAATGAAACAGGTATTTTTCTGAGCAGTGTATCTCATTTTATTATCTCTGAAATAAGTCAAAAGACTCATGTCTTAAAAGTTCTTATAAAGTTCTACTGATGAAATGGACTCTAGGCTGACTATCTTAGAGATAAATCTTCTCTTTGTAGCTGATGCTGGGTGAGATGAATCCTGCACTCTTCATCTACTCACAAGAATTACAAACTTTTTGACTTACAAAAATGTGCTGACATATCCTGCTCTATTTTAAGCATATTTAAGAAACTGAGCGATGTTTCTCTAGGTCTGTCAAAAACTATTAATAGACATCAGCAAAGAGGGGTGGTTTATGTTTAGTTTCATCAGCACAGATTCATTTTGTGCTTGAAGCAGTTTTGAGCACTTCTGTTTAAGGCTACACAATGAGGTCATGAGAGGGGTAGAAAGCAAGCCCTGAGTCCATTTCCCCTTGTTCATTTTGAATGGGGTGTGAAATTGTGCTAATATAATTCCAATAAAATCAATCACTTTTAGTATTCACAGCCTAAGAAACAATTTTGCCATTTGTCTCCATGTAAGACTGCATCTCTCAGCTTGTTACCAGCAGTGTGCAAAAGACAGATGCAAACTTATCAAAGCTAACCAAGACACAATATCTCTGATCCCCTGATTCCCTTAGGGGAACTCCTTCTACTTAATGCTGTGCAAGCTAGTTATTTTCTCAAGCTCTCTGGAGGCTTCTGGAATTTATTTCCAAAGGTGTCTATTCATAACGTGTTGCTTTTTTTATACTGTTTTGCATTTATTTATAAAGTGGAATTTCTGCTTTTTTTTTAATCTTGTGTGCATGAGATATTTCTTTACTCTTGATATTCCCCTACTGCAAGATAACCCTTTATGAAGGGTGAAAAATGCACTCATTTTTCAAATTTTCTACTGTTTCTCATGGAGGATAAATGTGTGCTGACTCACTTATTTAGCAGAAAATTCAGTTTAAAATCTTCTGATTTCTGCAGTATATAACCATACCTCCATCTCAAAGGAAATCTAGTTTCAAGAGAGCCTTTTCCAGGCATTAGTTTCACAGAAGCATAGTTTTCAAGTATGCTAACTCTTATTGATTAAAAAATCTCAGAGCCACCTAGTAGTACATCAATGGCTAAGCCAATAAAAACAAATAGCATTGTAACTGATCACACACATAGGCAGATTCTCAACGGGTGTATATCATCTTTGGTTCATTAACCTCAATGAAGCTAAATGGATTTTACATCAGCCCCAGATCTAACTTTAATGTGTGAATCTGTTATCAAAAAAAAAAAAAAAAAAGGAAACATTTATCGAGAGAACAGAATTTGTAACATTTTTAGTGCCTGTTTTGCAGAGCCTGAGTACTGCTGTGTGAAGGAATCCTGCCCTTACTTAAAATGTTACTGACATTTCCTGACACCCTAAATTCTTCAGGAGAAAGAAAAAAACATACTCTTTTCTTATCAGACTTTCATGGATCTATATTCATTTTGGTTTAAAGTTCTTTGATGGTCTGTGAAAGTTGCTACAGAAATAGTTCTTTAGACTGAAATGTTGTTTTGCTGTATCAGAGAATATTAGCTACACAGGATGTGAGTTCTGAAAACAACAGACAAAAAATAGGGGGTAAAGCTCTCAAAAAATCTGGGCTGTAAATTATTATAAGGGAAATAGAGATTGAGTCTTCAGTTTTTCTACTAGACAACTCAATGCCTTGCTTCAGCACTGAGCCCTTGTCAAATCTTTGGATTATTGTAGAAGCATAGGCTGTATCCAAATCTCATTGCTGCTTCTGTTGACAAAAGCATTATGGACAGGTTTTGAGGTGATACAGTTTGGCACATGTCTTTTCTCTAGAATATGTGATTGCTAAAAATCTCAGCCAAGAAATTTCGGTGTTGAATACAAAAAAAAAATAAATAAATATTCCAACAAAACCAAATGAAAACAACATACAAACAGACTTTGAAGTGGAGAAGTAAATCTTGTTATTTAGATAAAACATTACTAGCCCTTCAAACTATTCATAAAATAGCATTCTGATGAGTCAGACACAGCTCAAAATAAACTGAGAAAAGTATTGTGTAATAATTCTTGAAAATGTTCCTTCTACTTCCTGGCCTTAGTTAAATTATCGTTGACACAAACAACTGTATAACTTATGGGTGAAATTGTCTTCTTTTGTAGCTAGTATGCTCAGGAGAAAATAATGTATTTAATCTTTAGCTTCACAGGTGGCTAATACTGGGACAATATTTCTGTGATGAGACTGCCTTTAATAGTGTGTTCCCCTGCTTGTACTATATACTGGTGATATTATTAGTGTAGTTTTTGTATCTGTGTATTGAATATGTCAGAGTATATGAGCAGCAAAATCAATGTAGATGGTGTTAAGTCAGGCACAAGAGACTTGCATATGTGACATACTCACTGGGTAATGTTTCAACACTCGTGTTTCAAATTAGTGGCCAAGGCAAGAAACTCGACACAAATTTTGTTTGTTCTTTATATCTACTCACACTGGTGATTGACAAATACTGCAATTAATAACTTTATTCATTTTCTGCTTGTTTTTATTTATGTGAAGTGAGGTTTAAGATTACTTAACTTATCCATCAGACAGGAAATGTTTTTTTCTGATTCTGGGCACTTCCAAAATTGAGATAAAATTGATAAAGTCCAGAACCTGTCTTACCATTGTAATATAGTAAACTAGATGTAAAGTAGAATAAATACAAAGAGTTTCTGCTAATCACATGCCTTGATATCCCTCCTGTATCCTGTACTATATGATATTCTGATGCCTAGACATTTTAGATATCCTTCTCCAAGGAGCATGCTAACAAGTATGCAGCTCAGATTAAACAGGGCAGTACTCAGACCTGTGTTCTGGCACTATTTATTTTATGTAGAGAGATGCAAACATTGTAAGCTGGACTGGGTTTTCCCGGGCCCACAGGAGGAGTAGTTTCAGAAAGACTAGGAAAACTGCATTTCTCATGGGTCCAGGATGATTAGCTAAAGGGGAGAACTGTAAGATGGAGAAAGCTACATTTCAAAGAATGGGCAACCTTTCTTCCCACTGGATACACACTGGAGGTCTTGATGGTTTCTTCTGGGCAGCCTGTGCTTCCAAGGGTTAGGAACAAACAGAGATAGAGATGATTGCAAGTGAGTCTGATATATATTCAGGTGAAAAAAATTCCTCAATTTAAAATAGCCTGAGAAATGTTGGATGGTCCAGTGGGAGATCACCAGCAGTCCATATGACAATATTTACAAGTTAAGATATATGGGGGGGGTTTGTGCAGTTAGGAAAATTTACCAAGGTCACCATCTCTCTTGCACAATGGGCAGTACCAGTTTATTTCCAGGAAAGTATATGAAGTCTGTAGACAACATTTTTCTGCTTTAATTTTTTGATTATTTATTATTGCATTTTGTTTGGGGGTGGCATTAGCAGATGACTCAGGAGTGTGCTAAAGCCATATGGTTTCGTGTTTGTTTTTCAGGACAGGTACTCAAGGGATCCCCTGCTCTTCTACTACTGAGAATGAAGAATGTGCACTGTGAGCACTTAAGTGTTCTGGTCAGCTACATCAGCTCTTGCAGCAGCTGTGAAAATCTAGCAAAGTTTCTATACTTTCCTTACAAGGTGAAATCATAAAAGTTCCAGGAAAAGAACAGAGCTGACCCATAGAAAGGACTTATCAGAGACCTTTTCACTTTCCATACCATTTTCCTAACACTGAAATTCACATATTTTGAAAAACCATTATATTGCTTTATCCACAGGAAAAAAAAATATAATGTAGATTAATATGATGTGTAAAGCATGTATAGCTGAGAATAACAGTTGGCCTGCAATTAAATTATGACATATGAATAGTCACTTCAGAGAATACTGTGGGATAAATGGCAGAGGATGTCCAAGGACTAATCTCATCTTCCTCTAAAGGTGTGACCTCCCACATTAAAGAGTCTTTAACACCATGCTATGATATTATTAACTCAGGTGAGTGTCAGTGAATAACAGCAGTCTAGAGGGCTTTTCTTTGCCTTTCTCTAATAAAACAGCTGACCAGACTTATTCAATTAAGGAATCTCTGGCAAGAGATGAGCCTTGGTTAGATGAACCCTGGAGGAAAGTATGTCACAGAAAAGAATATGAAATACCTTATGTAGACCATTGTTAGAAACTCTATTCCATTTTTATTTTGCATTTTGTCTTATGTTTAGTTACCTACATGCTGATGTGTCCAACACACAAGGATCATTTCAAATTGTCTTTTTCCTGTTATCATCAAAACAATGCAAAAAATATAACAAATCCAGAAAGCCACAGACTACCACCATCAAAAAACAAAACCCTGGTTTTGTTGAGCCTCTATTTTACCTCAGTTACAGAAATGAAGGTGCTAGACCCATAGAAAAAAATCCTCCTCCCACTGCAGATTCAAATTTGAACAAATATGACGAGTCTTCCCTATTTCTGAGTCATTGTCAAATGAGACCTACAGAATGAAAGTACAGGAATGAACTGTATGAGGTCTAGACTGCTTTCAATATCTATGAAGTTTTCAAGTCCACAGCTTTCAATTATCTTTTCTATCTGCAATCCACATCAGGTTTTAGCAGCCTTCCTGGAGGAGGCAGAAAAGGAAAAAAAGAAGGAGGCAGTTTTCTGTATGAGTGGTTTCTGTTAACACCTGTTTGCATTGCTATTCACTGGAAATGGTGGAGGGCAAATGTGAATTGAAGCCTCGTCTAGATTTTTGCAGAAGAACTGGAGGAAAAGTCTATGAAGAAGTTGCAGTAGTTGCAGTGTCTGACATGTAGAACACCAGAAAAGAAAATGAAAAATATTTGCTCTGTAGTATGAAATCAAGCTGCTGTGTGCTACAGTGCATAATACAACTGTGCAAATCTTATTAGAAACAAATGAAGTCTAAAATAAATGTGGGAATTAAATATAAAATATATATGTCTGAAGAATTTTGGGCAGTTGGAGAAGCAAAGACTACTCTAGTTTTGATTTAGGTTGTATTCAGATTTGTCTGCCTATTATGTGCAGATTTTTCTTACTATTTTCCCCCCAAATTTTCTTCCAGGGCCTTTTCTTTGTTTGTTAAAGCTTAGTGAATATGGAAAGTTTGTTCTTTTTCCCGTGTACTTACAGAATGGAGGAACTGCCCCAGCAAAAATCTTTTCTCTTTCATGGTCTTAAATTACTGAGCAAATCATTCTCCCCCAACAGAGAAATTTCTACTCCACCTTTCAGTTTCAAGATATCTGGAAATCCTGCCCTGCTGGCAAGTTAGGAAGGACAAGCAGAGATGACATAAAAGTTTCCAGTAGGAAGGTTTATTAAAATCATGTTTAACTCCTTGCCTCATGTCTGACACCAATCTCAGATTCTTGAAAAAGGACTTAGCAAGGGACAAAAAAATATAACCAAAGTGATTCTGTTTGAATGATTTTTAGGTGCCAAAGCTTTTTCTCCCATCCCAAGATCCTGATCAGTCCAAGTACTTGTCTACATTGAAAGTACACAAGTGCATTCACACACTTACACATATCAAATGTGTTACTGGATAAAATTACCAGCCAACAGAGACCAGAGCTATAAAGAAGATCAGGGCTGAGAAGCAACCTGGGAATTCATGGACCTTCCCTCTACAGACTGAGCAGGGAACCAGATGTTTTCAGCCTCAGTGGCCCACCCCCTTCAGCAAGGGTGAGGTTGCAATAGAGCAGTGAGAGTGAGAAGGAAGAAAATGGAATAGTTAACTATGGGAGAATGGGCAGAAGAAGCTGCTTAATGCAGGGACCAGCAGGCCAATGTTTTTGGAAGTCTTTCGGTGTGAGCCACTTCTCTATGCCTGTCAATGAATAAATAAACTGCAACTTTTTAAAGGATGAATAACCTAGACTGAATATCTAAAAGCTACTTAAAATTTTAACTTTAATGAGTACTTTAAAAATGTATCTTTATGATACTAAAACTAATATACATGTTTTTTAAGGGGAAAAAAATTATAAGATGATGTTCTTTATATTTATGCTGTCACTCATGCTTTGACTCTGATCACTTATCTGGATAATTAAGCAGTATCACTGAGGAACCAGATACCAGAAATCTGATATTAATCCATCCCTCCTAATAGTAACGCAAAGCCACTGGGGTGGAAAGCAGCCTAGTCTTCCTAATCCCCTTTTACCAACATTTCAGCATCAGCATATCTCATTTATTTTCAAAAGTGGTTCAAGACACACTATCGCTGGCTTAAGTCTAATTTAGGCTTTAAATCAAAATATATTAGGAAATGCAAAAATAGTCAAGATTACCAAGATTTCTTGAGGGAATGATTCACAACCAGCTCATGTCCCTCTGACAGGAACTGGGGACAGCTAAATGATTGTTGCATGTCTGCATTGCTTTAAGGTACATCACTTTCCTTTGAATTAAAAGAAGGCAGGATTACGGTGGAGACCTTGAGATCCCACTGCCATACTTATCAGGTATATGTTAATGATAGTCTGAGCAACTTCTACAGACATAATTCACCTGCCATACTGAGGAGTCCAAGGCTATTCTGTTCTCTCCCTTGTGTGCATGTGTGAGCGTTTATGTGAGCCTTGTTGCTGCCTTCAGAGTATTCTTGGCTCCTCAGGGTATTTTTGGGTTCAGTGTCAAGACTGTCCTAAAGCCCTCCTTAGTCACTGTTACTCCCATTATCCCCTTGTGCATTTTGGGATGGTTTGACTTGAACCCAGCATGAGTACACTTTGACATGTACCACAGCAGTAAAGGTGGTGGGTAATTGTCGGAATAGGAAAGCTGCACACCTCTCCCTTCCCTGCCTCCTCCATGCAAACCAAATAGATGAACAACACATACCCAGACTGAACATCATCCTCAGGCTGTGCCCATGGTGCAAAAGCACAACCCCAGCTCGATGACATGAGCTTGGCCTCTGCTCCTGGCTTGTGGTGGGAGGCAGGTCCAGCTGTCTCACTTTCTATGGCAACCTCCTCCATTGGCCCTAGTCTCAAATGGCTGGGCATGTGCTTCTAAAGCTACCGATATTGGTGTGTTTGAGTTATGAAGGGCAACTTTGATTTTGATAGTTATCTGATACAGGTTGTGAACTGTTTACTGTCATATCATTTTATTAGCTACTGCTGACATCCCCCTGTGCATATTGAAGCTGTAACACTTCAAACTCACAGAAGAAAAACTAAATATATTATGACAAAAACAATAGAAACCAAGCTTAGCCCTCTACTGTAGCCCCAGTGTGATACCTTCCAGTTCCTGAGGGTCTTAAGGAGGAACTGAGAAGACATACGAGTCCATTAACCTTGCCTACTAACAAAGTTTTCAAAGACAGTAATGGGGTCAGAGTCCATGTGTCGTCATAGTGAAAGTATGTGGCACTTTTACCTTGTTTGTGTGGCTCTACCATCAGAGACAGACACATTTCAGTGTAGGAGACTTCAGGAAACTGCTGGTTTCCCATGTATATTTTATTAAGTGTTAGTGCCACCAAACACTGTACAGATGGGGGAATCTATCACTTTATAAAATAATTAGTCTGCTATTTCCATGACAAGAAGAAACAGCAGTATGTAGGCAGCAAACTGTGGTGCTGCTTTTACCTTCCTCATCGTTTTTGTATTTTTACCAAAACAGGAAAATATTTTTACAGGGTAGGCCAATAGTGCCACTGGAATTGAATTAGAGCATCCTTAATTAATATGTCAGAATACGAGAAATGATGAAAATGTGTATAATTAAATTCTTGCACTAAAAACAGAATTAAAATATGTGACTAAAATAGATCAGGGCATTTTTGTGTGTGTGTGCTTTTTATTTTTTTCCCTTATATTTTTTTTTTAATTTAAAAAAAATGAGTTCTGCTATCTTTGCACTGTGTCTTGATTAGCTATTACGTGCCTGGCTAAGAGATGGGTCACCCCAAAAATTACACACTATCTGTGAAAATGAAAAGAATTTTCCCACTTCTGTGAGTATAGCGTTATTTGCAGGCTAATATGCAGTAGTAATAGCTTGGCACTGTGGCAACCTACATTGTCGATAATAAGAAGCTGTTTGAGACAGGTGCTTGAAAGAGCAAACTTCTTACATAAATTAAATACCTATTTTCAACTACATGGCTCCAATTTTCAAAGGCGGTGAGTGATTCTGGGTATTCTAGTTTTCCAGGGCTCAAAATCAGACATATGCAGAAGGTCTGATTTTCTAATTTTCAGTGTTTATGGAAGATCCAACTTCATTAAAATGTCTGAGTGCCTCTTTTCTTCCCCTGTCCCTCAGGAGTTCAATCAAATAGGTCAGTTTCGATGCTAGGTCACACCTATGCAGTGAGTAACTTCACAGACTATTTTACATCAGACATTTTTACTCTGTTAATCTCTTCTTGCTGTGCATGTGTTGTACTTTTTTAGTTTAAGGGAAATATTTTAAACTGAAAATCTCTTTTTGTTTCTACTTTATGGGAGATTTACAAACATGTATGTGAAAATTAATTGTAGACTAAAACTGATGGAAAAATATGTGGATGAGCAACTGATCTGTATGAAACAAACAAGAGACCTTCCTTTAAAAATCCCATCCCACTGGTTTCCCATACTGAAACCAATAAAGCATTCTTTATTCAATTATTTAATATATCAGTAATATAAATCTCACACTTCTTTAGCAATTTGTCTTAGCAAAAGTTTCCATTCTACATCCCACTCAGATCCTCAAAAGATTTCAAAATCCTAAACCCAGCCTGGATACCAGCATTATAAAGGGAAATGTCCAGATTAATCTGGCAGCAGAAAACCCATAAAGTACATATAATGAAGAAGTAATCGTAGGAAACTAAGTTTTCTGTTCTTGTTCTTTCCTAGCATTCAGCTCTTCAAAGAGATAGCAAATATTCTATTGGTTAACATTTAACCCAAACTAATAGGTCCAATCTCACACACTCAAATAAATCATAATGTCTTTTCAATTAGTTTGCGCTTTTGCTCGCTGCTGTCCTGAATAATTAGGAAAACAATTCACATTTCACTAGGAGATAATATGAAGTGTTATTCCTGTGATAATTACTAAGCTGCAGTTCAGTTTCCCTGACTCCCACCAGGTCACCAGGGCACAAAAGAGGACACCATGAGAGCATTAATGAGCTCTCATTGAAGATGTTAAAAAGCTTGTATTGATCTGTTTGTCCAAGAAGGAGATATTTAAGCCTTTCTGCTGAGGGCAGGAGAGACAGAGATTCATATCACAAAGCCTTTTATCCAACCCCTTCTGTTTCTAGCTTCAATATTGCCCAGTCTCAGCATGTCTGGTTCTGGAGGTCATACTTTTAAACTTTCACAACATTTTTTTTCTTTTTCTCTTTCTTCTTTTTTTCTTTTTGTTAAAAAAAAAAAAGAAAGGAAAGAGAGATAATATACAGTGTACACTTAACCTTTACTACAGGGATCTCTTTACACAGCTAGCTATTTCTAAGAACAAGCTGCAGTCCAGTAAGATCTCCCTTCTCACTATATACCACTAAGACACATCTCAATTAAATTAAGGACACTGCAGACAATGTAAAGTCTGACTCAGTGCAAAATTTTGTTCATATTTTGAAAGTGGATCAAATCAAATCGCTTTTGGTGAAGATTGATCAGATTTTTTTTCCAACATCACTGCCTTTTTGTGAACTTCTGCACTTGCTGTTTCTGCATGGAAGCAGAAGCGGGAGGACTGTAAGGCTACAAAATCACCAGTTCTTGTGGTATTGTCAGAGGAGATTCCTCTCTGCAGGCAGGGGAGGCAAATCTTGTCCTCCTTTCAACTCTCTGCATTGTTATGATATATTGCAGCTGTAAACTAGTTCTAGGTACACTTTAGTACTCATCAATTTTGTCTGCTTTCTTTTAAATGCCACAATGAGCTGTAAGTGAGCATTTGCAGCCTGTCTGGGATAGAATACAGGAAAAAAAGTTAATGTAACTGTAAAAGCTGTATTTTCTTTGTTTATATTTGTCACCTGAACCTGCTGATGTCTGGTTCAGCAAGGTTATATCTCTCTTTTCACTACATCTGATTCACATTCATCTTGGTATGAGCAACTCAATGAGGCCATTTGTGTGGGATCTTTCATGGGCATTGTTAAGAAGGTGTTCAGTATGTGCTTCTTTCTTAATATACAGCTAAAGCCATTATAGCTGAAAATATCTCAGTGTTAGCTTTAAGCATCTAGGTTAACGCAATGATAGGAGTCTGACAGAAGGGCTGGTAAGAAAGAACTTCCCAGATATTAGACAAGGCCACTCCATCTTAAGGCTGTAATTAGGGTATAAGATCAGAGCTCCATCCTTCCCAACTTGCTATTCTCTGCAGTCTCAAGTATCTTGAATATTATGGCCAGTTCTAAGATGTATTTTTTACTGAGAATAGATTTCATAGCCTGCTACTTCAGAATGAGTGAACTTACAAGTCACACTCCCAGTGGCATGATGCAGTAATCACCACTTCAGGGATGGAGTTGGCAAGAGACCCTGTGCAACTCTGCCACATGTGGTAACCACTTAATAAAGATATGAGGGAAAGATTCAGGAACAAATAAAATTGGACATGGATAGGAAGTAATGACCCTTGAGTGACAACTGAGGTGATGTGGATGAATATTAAATGTGAAGGGTTTGAATTATTCATTGAAGGTTCAAGGTAAAAGGGTTAACCTGATAACATCCTCTTACTGACACCTCACTCAGGGTAGAAATCCAAGTTCTGTGACGCTTTTCAAACTTGGAGTCCCTCTGTGCACAGGGAGAGTTATGCTGGTGGTCTTGCTCCTTCTTACTGTTGGTAATTCATACTGGACAAAGGTAATCTTGTGAGTCCTGGCAACTTTGCCACAAACTGTACAGCTGCAGTATTATTCAGCCTCTGGGCTGTCATGGGGGCATGCTGGGGGCAGGTTGGAAAATGTATCAGAAGTAACGTGGCCAGCAGGATCAGGCAAAAGTTTGTGTCTCTGTACTTGGCACTGGTGAGGTCACACCTTGAGTACTGCATCCATTTCTGGACCCATTGTTGAAGAAAGACATTGAGGTGCTGGAGCATGTCTAGGGAATGGCAGTGGAGCTGGTGAGGGTCTAGAGAGTGTCATATAAGGAGCATCTCAAGGAGTTGTGAGTGTTAAGCCTAGAGAAAAGGAGGCTCAGGGGGAACATTATCACTGTCTACAACTGCCTGAAATGAAGCAAGGTGGGGATGGGTCCCTTCTCCCGGTCAGCCAGTGACAGGACAAGATGACACAGCTACAAGCTGCACTGAGGGGGTTCAGGTTGGACACTGGGATCAGCTTCTTCATGGTTGTTAAATATTGGAATTTACTGCCCAAGGAGATGACGGAGTCACCACCCCCAGAGACGTTCAAGCAGTGAGTAGGCTTGGAACTTAGAGCCATGGTCTAGCTGACAAGGTGGTGATCAGTTGAAGGCTGGGCTCAATTTCAGGTGTCTTTTCCAACCTAAATGAGTCTGTGATTTTGTGGAGCTAATAGAACCCTTCAGCTGTTATGACACATGCCCACACTGCCTGACACTATGCTCATCTGCCTGGCATGACAATCCCCTATTGTCCATCCTACTCCATTTATGATTACATGGCATTAGGGGGAAGAAATAATTTCCAGCTCTTTCTGCCCTGTCTATGCTGCTTCTGGGAGGACTTCATGCACAGTAGGATAAATACCATGAAGTCATGTATGGTCAGCTAACCTGATGTCCCCTGAAAACAAGCCAGGTATGCATAAGGGTCTGGGAGTATTCAAGAGGAGGTCTGATCTGGGAAATAAACACAGAAATGTCAAGACTAAAACATTATGAAATAAAAGGGTGCTCTGCAATGGTTTCACTGACAGAACCTTATCAAGAACCAGAGACTGCAAGGAATAGAGATGCCATATGAGACTAGAGTTTGAGAGATCACTAGAAAGTGTTCCTCCTCACCTTTCTACTCCTGCTTTTTTATAGTATTTATTTCAAATATGTATGGGCAAAGGAACTCAAGGAGAATGGTTTGGAAGGTCAGTTTCTGGCCATTTGGCCAGATATTGAGCAAAGACACTTCACAGCCGAGAGAAAAATAGAAATGGTGACCCAAATGGAGGATGTTTCGGCATGAGATTGCTAAAATCACACCTCTCACTTTTGCCTAATATTCGTTTTGGCTACATCAAACAAAAAACTTCTGTCTGCATTCAGAGTGTGGCTCTTGAACCTCATTGATCCCATTGTCTGTGAGCTGGAGTGAGTACACGTTGCCAATAATCAAAAGTAGTTGCAGTGTTCAATTATACATTCTGGACATATTAAAAAAAAAAATTCAGACTGAAGCAGGAGCCCACTTCTTATCATTATGTTAGAGTGTTAATGTAAATGTACCTTGACCAGGAAGTGCACACGGGAAAGAGTAGAGAAGAGGAGCAGAGAACTGGAAGAAGTAGAAGGCAGAACAGGGAGGTAGCAAGCAGAAAAAGTTTAGTAGTACATTTCACTTCCACAGAAAAGAAAGTTTGAGCCACTAAAAAGGTTGTTCTTCTAGAAAAACTTTTCTTCAACACAAAAAAAATAAATATCAACATAGAAAAATGGCTTTTTTTTTTTTTTTTTTTTTTTTTGGTAGTTTGCACCACCATCAGCAGAAATAAGAGATCAGTTTCAGCATGAGCAAAGTTACTCTGGGAAGGTGAATAATTCCAGAGTGAACTAGACCAGATGTCCAGATTTTACACTGTCAAATTATTGTGGTATGACTTAATGAGGTATGATTCTCCTCATTCTCTGATATTTTCTGTTTCTTCAAGAATATCTAGACAGCTTGTGCCTTGTTGCAAGGGCCTTTGGGTAAGGTAACATAGCTTCAGGATGAAGCTGAGGCAAATAGAGACTGCTTCTGAATAAAACCATCCACACAGGAGTCTGGCACATTAAATTAATGTGCTCTTTCTTAAACCTTTTAGAGATGTAGTTCAACTTTCTTGGCAATCTCTTAACATGAAGAGAGTAGGATCCTCACCAACATGGAGAAGAATTTATGTGCACATCTCTAGTTCTAGCTACTGCAAATATTAAATTTCATCCGTTGATTTTTAAATATAAACTTTTTCCTCTCATTATCAGGTTCAGTTTCAATAACTCCTTTACTGCCTTTTATCATCACAGTTTTAAATTTTTGACTAAAACAAGGAGGATTGATCAAAGGTACCTTCCTGTTAGGTGGAGAAGGTCAGACCTCTCTGTTGGTTCAGTGGACATAATAAATGACTCTTACTAAGTTACTGCACTGAGATATTACCAACAGCCTCCTATAGGCATCTTGAAGAGTAGTAATCTCAGAGTTATTTAGAGCTGGGAGAAAAAAAAAATCACAGAGATGGAGAAATAAATGTAAAATAAAGGAAATCTGATCTGTGCTGGAAGAAGATAGTGAAAATATGCTTAGTTTCTGCATAATGAATGTGCTATAAACTGGTATGTGCACAGGGAGGCACTGACCTTAGAGACCTGTACTGATAAACATGTACTGTGGGAAAGTTAATCAAATTAACTGATCTTTAACCCAGAAATGTCAAAGTTTTCTTCTGACTTCAGTTTTCAGCCTCCTATTAACAGTTATTTATAAAAAAAAAAAAAAAAGGAAAGGGTAAAGTCAACTGTGGAAAGAATTGCAGCAGTGGCAGAAAACCCTTAGTCCCCTCAGTTTTAATGTCTGTCTACCAGACTGGTTTTCACATGACACCTCTCTATAAATGAATCCTTCTGTACACTT